AAAAGAGCTAGACTGGATTAGCTCAGAAAAATATAGATGATACAGATATCAAACTACACTAATATAATCTAAATCAACACACTAACAACCAACTCTATTCAAACTCTAATATTGAAAAGCAGAAAGAAGGCGTGAAGAAACTTTGTCTAAGTTATTAGGTCTAAATAGAGTTCTAGACTACGTTACGAAGCTTTTATTTAAGGTCATGAGATTATAAGATTTATTTATTAGAAGTAATTAGTAAAATGTTAAAGTCAAGATAGCAGACTCTTAATTGAGTTGAAGTCTATTAAGTTATGCCAACTCTGAGTTTATCTGAGCTCTCAGCTAGATACTTTATTGTAAAGTTAAGAGACATTGTATTTATAGTTTTACATTCCTATAATAATACAGGTTTGGAAGTTGAATTTATTAGCAAAATAGCATCAATGTCATAAGTGATATTAGTGTTATTAGTGATATTTGTAGAAGAAATACTATTTGTTGATGAAATATTATTAAGAGGCAAAGTATCATTTGTGGAATTAGTGGCACTTATGTTACTAATAACGTAAGTGACAGAAAGGAAATAAGTACACTATACTAATGCTAACTAAATTTGGATAAAGTAATAAAAATCAACCTGAGCTACCTCAGCATTGATCAATCTATTTATTAGTATGCCAATTCCTCCAAAATTGTATGTATCAAACCTACTAATAAATTAAAATTTTATTTCTAACTACAATCGACTCTTTTATGCTTGTATACTATCATAGTTGCAAAGCTTAATTGTCAAGCATAAGGTCTTGCACTGCCTATTGTAGCTATAAAGTCTAATTACAACATGAGGTCTTTGCAGCTACAGAACCTAATCAAACATAAGGTCCTTGTACTGCTATCATAGTTATGGTGCTTAATCACCAAACATGATGTTCTTGCACTGCCTACAGTAGCCATAGAGCCTAATCACAATGTAGGTTCTTGCATGCTATTGCAACTATGGAGCCTAATCATAGTATGAATCCTTATACTGCTATTGAAGTTATGGTACTTAATACTAAATATGAGATCCTTATATCTTGTGACAACTATAGAGCCTAATCACAATATAGGTTCTTGAATCACTATAGCAGCCACAGAGCCTAATTACAATATAAAGTCCTTGTACTGCTATTGTGGTAGCGGTGCTTTAGCACTAAACATTAGGTTCTTCATTATCTGTAGCAGCCATTAGATATATATTCAGTTGCTACAATTATTCATAGTCAATTTTTTAAATACTGAAATGATTTTTTCTATTTGAGCTTTTAATTAAAGTTCTTCAGAATTACTGTAAATTCTATTCATTTCATCTTGTAAGTAGAAAGAATGATACCTTCTCTGGAACAGAATTTAAATTTTGTTAACATTATAACTAGTTATTAGCCGCTAGTTATTAATCGATTATGACATTACCAAATTTTAAAATTCTTAGTTTAAGAGAAAGTTTCGTTCTTTCCACTTATAAGATAGGATAAACAGAATTTAATTCTGAACAACTTTAATTAAAAGCTCAAAAAAAAAAAATCCCTCAATATTTGAAAATTGACTATGAATAATTGTAGCTGTTTGCAACTAAACTCATCCCTAGCAGCAATAGAGCCTAATTACACTATGATGTCCTTGCATGCTACTGCAGCCACGGAGCTAATTGCAATCCCAAATCTCAATTCATATAGTAAGTTTTGGACAAGTTCCATGGCTTTAACTAGTTTCAAATAGTGTTTAATAACCTAGAATGTTCCAAAGTCCCAAACCAATTAGGTTTGGGTAGCAACTATTCACATAAGGTTCTTGCACTGCTATCGCAGCCATGGAGCCTAATCATAATATGAAGTTCTTGCACTACATAATACAATATCAGATATAGTACACTCTGCTTTAACTCTCTTTAAACAACTCAAGCACCTAGTTATGCATTGTATAATCAATCATTTGCTATAGCCAATCAGATGACTGAGATTGCAATAAATTGTAATATAAAATATATGAAGGGATAGTTCATATGCAAGAAAATTGATGTCTATTATGCTAATTTTTGAAAAATCCTTTTTTAGTAGAAGTAATGATTTCATTTATTCATTTTTAGCAGAAGTTAAGATTTTTGTATATGTATGTATGATACATATAACTCTATATGTAGATTACATGCAAATAATATTACATATTGCTGTATTGGTAATTATAGTCTATGTAAAAAACTTTTTGTTTTATTAGGCTCTCCATATTCTCATTTAATATGCATAATGAGCGAGTATAGAGATTTATGCTATTTGGACATAGCGCTTATAAATTCACCTCATACATGATTGTATTGGTCTTGTTCAGCATTGTATAATGCGTAGCTATCTTATAAATAATATATCAAATCAATAATTTGATATTGCTTTATTCTCGCTATACTTCAGAAATTAAAATAAAAAAATATGTATTGTTATGCTAAAGAGTATATTATAATGAACTCGGCAAATATAATTTGATTTATGTGGGTTTGTTAATACAAGAGTTATTGCAGCTTGAATTTTACTATTAAATTTTCATGTACACTATACAAGTTATAGCATTGTGTCTATATACATGTAAAAATTATTTTAATGTTGATTTTTAGTATGAGATGCTTAAGTATTTTATAAAATTAATGATCAAATATGTTGTGCAAAGAACTTAATTTTAATGATTGCTTTAAATTTCATATATCCTGTTTCTGGTTTTGCGCAACTGTATTGTGCAGCTACTTATTGTATAAGAATAAGGGCCTTGAAAGTAATACTATATAGTATTATGTTTGTATTGTTATTAGGATTCTTATAACAATATTGATTTAATGTAGGTTGTGGATGCCACCTAATGCGTATCTATATAATCTAATTCAGAGTTTGTACATTTTAGCTGATTTGATTGGTTGTTGGTGTGTTGTTCATAGTTTATGCGTATTGACTATTTTTGTTCATTGATTGATCATCGATCATTTTGTGTATTGACTATTTTTGTTCATTGATTAATTGTCTAAAATAACAATAATAATAATGACATTGATCATTTTCGGGTGCACTATTTTTGTCAATAAATAGTCTATATAAAATGACGTTATTTTATTAATTTTTCCCGTACTTACTGATTCGAGCTAATTACGTAATATCAGTCATGGAGCAAAATCTTAGGTAACCCAAAAATTAACAAAACAACAAAGAGTTGTGTTAATCTTAGATTTTGCCAAAAAAATCTCATTTCGTGTACTAACTTAAAAAATATTTCTACAAATTTTGGTATAATTTTACCTGTGAAATTTAACGCTAACCTTTACAGAGATGTCATATCTTAAAGAAGATTGAGATGTAATAAAATTCTTACTGATAAAGTGTAGGAAGAAATTGATAATTAAATGTTATAGAAAAGATTGAAACGTAACAAAATTCTGACTGATAGAAAGTGTGAGAAGAAATTGATAATTAGATGTGTGCTATTGTTTATAGGTAATTTTAAATTGGTGTGAATTTAATTTAATAAGAATTTAATAAGAATAATGATTATTCAACGAATGCTGAATAACTCATAATGTAATAATGATGTAACATCGAATATATGCTTACGTGATTATTCATTATTTTAAAATAATTGATAATGCTAACAGATTTGTAAATTAAAAATCACATGATGCATATAAATTACTGCCTGGCTTCGAACAACTCATGTTTACTAAATTGGGAAAAGGTTAATCCGATGTGTGATTATGCATCTAATAATTGCACGATGAAATAGGTTCAGCAAAAATCGATTCACGGTTGTAATAGAGTACTTGCATTGAAAAGGAGAAGGGTTAGAAAACTTTAGTGTCTAAAAATAAATAAACAATGAATGAAATTGTAATTATACTTATCACTTCAGATTTCACATTAGACTGAGGTTTTAAATCACGTGGTTCGAACACTATTCGATCGAATCGTAAGTTAATTAAGTGAATGATGTAATTACAATATCAAAATGACGCGTGAAAAGTGTATAATCAAAGTAAATTAATTACCCAAGATCAATCGAATGATGCAATTACGATATCAAAATGACGCATGAATCAACTATTCTATTGTATAAATGATCTATGATGTAATTAAGAGTCAAATATGGAATCAATATAAGAAGTGCGGGAAAAAAAATACTTTTCGTTTTCGTTCTAGCTAAAAAAACATTAGCGAATACATGCCATCTTATAAAACATTGATTACTTTCTTCCACAATAATAACACGTATACATATCGGGTCATTTCGTATTAGTCTGAAGTTCTATATCGCACTATTCGTAAGTTATTAATTACCCAAGATCAGTTATTATATATAATTAGTGTAATGTGTGAATGATCTATGAGGTAATTAATTAAGAGTCAAATATGGAATATATAAGAAGTGCGGGAAAAAAATACTTTTCGTTATCATCGTTATTCTAGCTAAAAAACAGTAAGATCTATAAATGTGAATACATACCATCGTATAAAACATTTATTACCTTCTGCAATAACAACGCGTTTACTTATCAGGTTATCATAAAAAAATTCAAATCTATTATAAATTGTTAAAGCTGGCCAAAATCAGTGTAGGAGTATGTATATTACATTTATTTATTTATTTATTCGAATATTTTTATTTATTATTGTGTTGGTATCGACTAATTGATATATTTTATCAATTATTAATTATTAATTAGATTTGTATAAATAGAAGTGAATACCATTATCTTCATTGTTCATGTTTATTCAAATGCTGCCTTTTCATCATATACTTTCACAACCTGTTGTAGATACCAATAATACTGAGAATACTAAAAACACTCGAACAAATATGCAAACTTCTTTGAATAAACCACGAAGATTGTATAAATTTGGTCTACGTTTTCAAGAAACAGCTTCAGCTATTCGTCATGCTTTAAAACCTCCTTGTGTTTGTTCTTATTGTGACGCCAAGCTTTTCTCAGGTGAAACTGGAGGAATATGTTGCATTAGCGGAAAAATTAAGTAAGATAAAAAATAAATTATTAAATTGTTAATAATTATTAATAATAACGATAATAATAAATGATAATTCATCTTTGCTATTATAAGATTAGCTTCAACTGAACATGCTGCATCTTTAAGGGATTTATTTATGAGACTTGACGAAATGGGAAATGAATTCCGCGTTAATATTCGTGCTTATAATAGTGTTTTTGCTTTCACGTCTATAGGAGTCAAGATAGACGATACTCTTGCTAATGGTAATATTATATGATAATAAATAATATAATAATAATCTATAATAATATAGAAATATAATAATAATAATAATTCATAATTATCACCAATTCTTGACAGGCAAGGACGGAGTATATACATTTCGGGTTCATGGTGGAATATATCACTCTATAGGGTCTCTTCTTCCGGATAATGAAACACCAAAATTTCTTCAGTTATACATTTATGATACTGAACATGAAACGGAAAACAGGCTTACTATAATGCCTAAGCTTCGTCGTGATACTTTGGATATTATCAAATCGATATTAGATGAATTTAATCCATTTGTTGCTAATTTTCGCTCAATTGCCTCCAATAATGCTATAAACAACCTTCAACTTATTATTAAGGCTGATCATGGCATGGATCAACGAATATATAACACTCCAACAGCTTCGCAAGTTGCTGGTATTTGGGTAGAAGGCCATGAACCCTTAAATCGTATGAAACAGGATATTATTATAAAATCGAAATCTAATGGTTTACAGCGTATTTCTGAGTTAAACGGTTCTTATGACCCAATGCAGTATCCTCTTTTTTTTCCATGTGGTGAACATGGGTGGCATCCTGGAATTCTACAAAATATGTCACAAAAAAAAGTAACTACAAGACAGTACTATGCATACAAGTTGCATATACGTCAAGATTCTTTTTCATTGCTTCATCTTGGAGGGAGGCTTTTTCAACAGTACATTGTTGATAACTATGTTAAAATTGAGTCTGAGCGACTTAATTATTTACGATTGAATCAAAATAAACTTCGTAGAGAGCTTTACCAAGGCTTGCATGATTCTTACCACTCGGGAGTAACAGATGCATCAAAAGTTGGTACTCGGACAATTTTGCCTTTATCTTTTATAGGAAGTCCACGTGATCTATATCAACGATATCAAGATTCAATGGCATTAGTTCAAACGTTTGGCAGGCCTGATTTATTCATTACAGTTACTTGCAATCCCAAGTGGCCCGAAATTAATTCTGAGCTTTTGCCTGGACAAACTTCACAAGATAGGCCTGATCTTACAGGTATATATTATTATCATTATAACTTTGTTAGTAAGATAGTACTGTTTCGGATAACTTGCATTTTAGTCTATGTATATAAAATGTATAAAATTGATTTTAAAATTAATTGTATATTTTAAATTTGTAGCGCAAATTTTTTGTGCTAAATTAAAAGAAATTACAGGAGATATTTTTGATCGATGTCTATTTGGTCATGTAGTGGTGCATATGCATGTAGTGGAGTTTCAGAAACATGGCCTTTCACATGCACATCTGTTGGTAATTCTTCGTTCCGATGATAAATTTTATGAAGCTGATTGTTATGATACAGTTATTTCTGCAGAAATACCGGATCCAAATACAGAACCAAGATTATACCAAACAGTAGTTACGAACATGTTGCATGGTCCATGTGGGAAGTCTAATTTAAAAGCACCCTGTATGAAAAATGAATTGTGTACTAAGCATTATCCTAAACAGTTTGTTCAAACGACAAGAGAAGGCAATAATTCTTATCCCGTGTATCGTCATCGTGATAATGGACGTAAAGTATTGCGCAAAGGTGTATGGCTAGATAACCGTTGGGTTGTTCCTTATAACCCTTATTTGTCATTTAAATATGATTGTCATGTCAATGTTGAAATTTGCTCGAGTATAAAGTTAGTCAAATATTTATACAAATATGTGTATAAGGGACATGACCGAGCTGCTCTTCAAATAGCTAATGATGAAATTAGTCAGTATTTGGATGCCCGGTGGGTTTCTGCTTCAGAAGCCTGCTGGAGAATTTTTGGATTTGATATGTCACGAATTAATCCATCAGTAGTTCGCTTACCGGTGCATCTTCCTTATCAACATACTGTAATTTTTTCACAAGGTGTTAGTCTTGACAATGTAATTAATGATGATAAAAATGAGAAAACGATGTTAACAGAATACTTTAAAATGAATGAAATTGATCCTGATGCTAAGAATTATCTTTATCGTGAGTTTCCACACTACTATGTTTGGAATAAGGCAAATAAAAAATGGACAAAACGTAGTCAGAGAAATATAATTGGAAGGATGTATGTTGTAAATCCAAATGAAGGAGAGAAATACTATTTGCGCTTGCTTCTCAGTTATGTTAGAGGTGCTACTTCTTTTGCTGATTTAAGAAGAGTTGGAGACTATTTATGTGCAACTTTTCAAGAAAGTGCATTGAGACATAGAATTATAGAACCAGAAAATCCATACAATGATACTATGCGAGAAGCTGCTCAATTTCAAATGCCCTATTCTTTACGTCGATTATTTGCTATTATATTGGTGTTTGGAGAGCCAGGAGATGTTCGGACCTTGTGGAATGACAATTTTGTTAACATGTCTGAGGATTTTGTACGAAATGGTATCCCCAGTGGTCAATGTCAAATCAATGCGGTTCTTCTTTATATTAAAAGTATTCTAGAACAGCATCACAGAAAATTGGATGAATTTGATCTCCCGTCACTTAATAATCTATCTAATGAACAGTATGAGGAAGAGTTACCAAGGTTAATATTAGAACAACTAAGCTTCGTAATAGATAATAGCGATTTGAAAAAAATTGCATTATTAAATAAAAGTCAGAAAATGATATTTAATAGAGTTATGGAACATGTTGAAGAAAACCAACCTGGAGTTTTTTTTGTTGATGGTCCAGCTGGATCCGGAAAGACCTTTTTGTATCTTTGTTTGCTTTGTAAAGTTCGCTCATTGTCTTTTATTGCTCTTGCCACGGCATCATCTGGGATTGCCGCATTACTTATGCCTGGGGGGCGTACTGCCCATTCACAGTTCAATATTCCTTTAAACCCTGATGCAAATTCAACATGTATTATCAGCAAACAAAGCCAGTTAGCTTCCTTATTACGTTTAGCTAGATTAATTATATGAGATGAAATCCCTATGGTACATCGTTATGCAGTAGAAGCTTTGGATCGAACACTTAAAGATTTAATGGAATGTGAGCTTCTATTTGGTGGAAAGTTAATAGTGTTTGGTAGAGACTTCTGCCAAATAATACCTGTAGTTCTGAGAGGTAGTCATGAGCAAATAGTGAATGCTTCTTTGAAGTGTTCTCCTTTATGGTCTATAATGAAAATTTATCGACTGTATGTAAATATGAGAATACAAGATAATCATGATCATAATTTTAGAAATCTTTTATTGAGAATTAGAAATGGAACGGAACCAACTTTTAATGATGATATGATTCGTATTCCTAATCATATGATTATACCTTGGAAAAATGAAGGGTTTTTACAATCTCTTATTGAATATATTTATTCGAATCTAGCTGAATGTTACTTAGATGTTACCTATTTTACTGGTCGTGCCATACTTGCTACCAAGAATGAATGTATTAATTGTATTAATAATATAATTCTAGACCAGATGCCTGGCAATGTTATAACTTACAAAAGTTATGATTCTGTTTCTGATGATA